GGGCTGTCCTCGAGCCTTGTCTCCCAGGGGTAGGCGCTTGTTTCAGGCACCCTCGGAACTCCCAGGCTTCCTGGAAAGCACCTTGGAGGCACTCCCCTCACCTGCCCCAGCACAGAGACAAGTCACACGTAAAGCCACTTTGAGGTAGAGTCAGTCACACGATGACACAGACGTGGGCACTGGCACAGCATCATGTCATGACAAACATTCATTCAGGGACACAGATACACAGGCACATGCATCTTCACACACAGGAACATGCTTATATGTTGGTAAAACACACGCTTTGCAAGGACATATGTGCTTAGAGCGACATGCCTGCAGACATGCTTTACTGTGTGTTCGCACGTGTTCCGCTCCTCCCACCCTCGCGCCAGCTCTCGGTCCGGCAGGCTGCTGCAGCGCTCACCCGCTGCAGATGGCCCTTTGTAAGGTGGGCATCAAAGGAGGCCGGATGCCCTATGCAAAGGGGGCCCTACGAGTAGGTTGCTGTGTGTGTCTACTTTAGTGTGTGTCCAAATTTGTGGCTGTCACTCTGTGACTGGTAGCCTGTGTGGTTCTCCCTCTGTGTAAAACAGGGAAGTGTCTCTGACATTGTATTTTTCTGTGCATGCCTGTATGTATTTCTGGCAGGACCTATATATAGCTTTGTGTACCCACTTACATGAATGTGAGTGTGGAAGACAATGGAGAATTCATTTATGTCTATGACTGCATCGTGTGGACTATATATCTGAGCATGTCTGTGTATGTATGACTGTGCACATTTGCATATATGTGTGCTTCTCATGTGTTTATGGCTCTGTGGTCTGGAAGTCACCTAGCTGGGCTGTCTCCCTTCCCAGCAGAGGCTGTGGTCTGGGGTGGGGTCAGGTGGGACTGCACGGAATCCCTCAACCATTGACAGTCGTATTTACAGAGCTCAAAGTAGAACATAATTGCTTCTATTAATCTTTCTCTGGTTGTTAATTGCTCACTTATCGGGTTGTGTATTATGCCGACTGTTGCTCTTAATTCGCCTTCATAGCTGCAGGTGTTCAGTGCCTTATTAACTGTTAATCAGCGCCGCTAGGGATGGAGACATAATTGGCCCCCAGAGTGGGACACAAACAGGCCAGCAGGACACTGCCAGGCTCTCAGCCTGTCCCTGGAACCCTTACCTATGGAGCACAGGTGGCTACCAGAGAAGGAGTTGGCCCATTGCCGTTCACGAGCAGATATTAAGTAGTCCAGCATACAGCAGTAAGGGTGACAATTACAAGGAATGGCCCCTTCCTCCCAGAAGCCAACCTACCAATTAGAATCCAGCTCCTATATTCCCTCTCATCATGAACAATCTTCCTCTACCCAGGTAGGAGCCAAACTCATCTATTTTAATGATCTGAACCTAACTGAGACCTAAGAAACCAACACTGCCTCCACCTCCCCTCTGATCCTGGCAGTCAAGGCTGATAAGGTAACAGAGACACTGGGCGAAAGGAGGGCAAGACGAAGGAGATTCTGGCAGAACAGGAAGGTGAGCTCAGATCCAGGAAGGCCTTCCCAGCATTTGAAGGGGCCATGTGGAACAATCAGAGTCCAAATAGGAGTAAGAACTTCCAGGAGATCTGCTGCTCCATCCCAGCCACCCTCGAGGGGTCCCTCTCAGCCTCTGCTTTCACAGCCCCCACCTCCCTCTGGCGCTGCTAAATGGCTGCAGCAGTGAGAAGTTCTCCATATGGAGCTGACTTCTGCGTTTCCTTGCCCCAAGTCACAGCAGAGGAGTCCCAACTGTCCATAATGGGACGCTGAGGCCCAGAAAGGGCAACGAAGTGACTCCAGGGTCCCTGAATCCTCTCTGATAAGGGCTCAGATATGTGGGTGTCCAAGCAAAGTTTCTGCCTTCCACCTCTGCCTAGATCCTGCTCCATCCCAGACATCTCAGAGCTGGAGGGGACTTTCTCTGTCACTATCTTCTTGGCTCTGGTCTTTAGCCTCTCGAGCTCAGCTGCCACAGCTGCAGTTGCCTCACGCTGCAGACAGGAATGCAAGGTTTCTGGAAACAGCTGGCCCCAGAGACAGACAAGTGTGTTAAGTGTGTGCACATGTGGTGGTGGTGAAGCGCTGGGGATGGGGCGGGGAGGTCCATGCTTCACCAACCTGGTGTGCAACCTCCAAGGACAAACAAGCAAACTAATAGTCCACATCCTGTGCCTCAAATCCAGTCTGCCCTGCGAGTTCTGGGAATTCATGCTCATGTTAGTTGTCGTGTCTTTAGCTGCAAAAGAAGATGATTGCTTTGGTTGGGTCCTGAGAGGAGCTGGGCCCTATGGAGAGAGGGAGGGAGCTACCATCCAATGCCTACTGTGTGCCAGAAGCAGCAAAAACTATACGCAAGAGTGACATCTCACTCAACCCTCACATAGCCTGATGAGCTAGGGATTAATACCCCTCTTACAGAGAAGGAAATTGAGCCACAGAGGGAAACTAAACTTGACCAAGGTCACACAGCCAGGAAAGGGTAGAATTGGGATTCCAACCATTGCCAGGAGGGTTGGTTGTCTTCGGTCCGTGGTACCTGGATGGATTCATGCTAATGGTTCAGTCAAGTGACCAGGGCCTAGAACCGGTGGTCGCTATTACATTTTACCCACCCAACCCACGTCTGGGAACATTAATAAGAAAAACGCTCACGCATGCGCAGCTCAAGTGCTCATCAGGCGAGATGAAAAGAAGCAAAGGGATAGTTGCCCAAACAAGTTCCGGCCCCGCCTCTATGTTAATGACATGCAGATATATGTAAATTTGCGCACGCAACAGCTCAAACCTTTGGAAGCAATGGGGTGACCCAGAAGTTGCTATGGAAACCTCAAACGACACCCCCTCCCGCCTCACTGCACAAGCAATCACAACGACCTGTGCAGAAAGACCCAGGGTTCCTCGCTCAGAGCCCAGAGGATCACGGAGTCGCGGGGGGTGTGAACCGGAAGGTCCGGCAGAGCCGGCGTCCAGCCGGTGAAGCTGACGCCTGCAGGAAGTCGCGGGGAGAGCAGCGTCGTGGGGCACCTTCCACTAAAACCGAGGGGAGCCTCAGAGCCCTTCCAAAACCTGGCGACTCCTACTCCGGCCTAGCAACGTGAGCCCCGCCCAGCGTTGCCTAGAAACCTCCATAGATCCTAGCAACTGCCAGCCTCGCCCCCTAGCAACAGCTCGCCTAATCCACTGTCCTGGCCTCCTCATCTCAGAAAGACAAGGGGCTTGTGAACTAGGTCCAAAAGGTGGATGGGCGTCATGTTGACCAGCCCCCAGCCTCGAAGCCGGCTGCAGGATTTTGGGGCTCACCTATAGCCTTCTCCTCACAGAGGGGAAAACTGAAAGGAAGTCCCAGCCCTGAGTACAGAGCTTGTTCTTTGCTGAGTGCCCCGGGAAGGCAGCAAATGCTGTCGGCTCCCTGGAAAGAAGCCCTGCACCTCGGGGGAGGCAGTGCACAGCCGTCTCCTGCTCCAACTCCTCCAGCTTCAACTGCGTTAGGAAAATGACCCAAATTGCCGACTTGGAATAGAGCTGTAGCTTGCATAGTAATTTGTGTCATTTGCATACAGCACAGAGGCTGTGGTGCTCACAAGCTGCTCCGGGCCGGAAAAGTTCCCGAAGGAGCCCCGACCCCTCCGCTGGTTTACCTGTCTTTTCCCTTCTCTCTCTGCGCCCCCCGCCCCCGCGCTGCCCCGTTTCCAATCCCTTCGGCTAAAATCCCACGCCTCGCCCCACCCCCTGCTCAGCCTCCAGTCTTGCCAGCCCCGACCTACATCCCAAGGCCGAGGGCCCCCTCTGCTGTCGTCTGCGGGTAGGGCAGTAGTAGAGCAAGGGGCCCGAGAAGAGGGCCTCCCCTCCAACCAACAAACACCCTATTCTTCCCAGCCTAGCATTGTCCAGGGCGAGGCTGGTACATAAGCAGACTTTGAGAAGGGGTGGATAGAGGTACACCCCTTTAGGCCCGGTTGAAGGGTGGGCCCTGCCAGAAGTCCTCCAAACCAGGCCCTGCTTATCCGTGTGGGTTAGGCAGCCAAGGGCAGCTAGTCTGCAGGTCAGTCCCCAGACTCAGTTCACCCAAGAGACACCCCACAGTGATATGCTTTACAATTGTAGCTGCTGTTAGTAGCTCACTCCAGGCCCCAGGCAAAGCAGCACCATCCAACACTAACACCAGCCTGAATGTCCAACTGCCAGGCCGAGACCGTTGGCTTTCTCCAGTCCCAATGTCCGGAAGCTGGCAAGAGATAGAGGAGTCATCCTCTATGGATCTCCCAACTTTCTCAACAGACACCCACACACAGATGCACACACACATGCTCACAGACCGATGCACACAGACAAGGACACATAGGGACTATGGTGGTAGCTCCCCACCCCCACCCCAACTATCCAAAGGAAAAATCTTGGTAACTAAAAATTTTTAACAGCATTGTAACTTGCTCTCCCATTTCTCCCTAACAATCTGTACATGCCTATGTCCCTCAAAAGCCTAATTCTCTCTCTCTCTCCCACCCTAGTCCTGCCTTCTCTTCCATTATGTCTTCTTCCCCCTACTTCAGAACACTTGCAAAATGCTTCCAGAACCCACCATGGCAAGAGCTGTGACCTGGTACAAAGTGACGGCTAGGAACCTCAGACAGGCAACTGGCAAGGTTGCTCCCTCCATCCCAGCACCTTAGCTTTGCTACTATACCTGTGCACAAAAAGCTAGCAGACACACCCACCCCAATAACACCTGGCCCGGCCCAAGGTCTCTCCTGCCCAGCCAGCAGATGCACAGAGTCTCAACTTTGTCAAAATCTTTATTGAACCAAAAATCAACACTAAGCAGTTTGCAGAACAGGAAACTCAAAAGGGAGAGGTGGATTGAGCTGGCCCTCCCTCTGCCCATCTCTCCCTGGGACAGCTCAGGGTTCTGGTCTGCTGAGGGAATCAAAACCCCTTTTCTGGTGGGTAATGAGGGCCACGTTTCCTTAGGGAGGAGACACTCAAGAGCCAGCTCCATCTGTAGGTCCCAAAGAGGAGTCAGGGGCTAGGCTAGGGGCCTCTGGAGCTCCAGGTGCCTGGCCAAAGAGGCCAAGGATTCCATGGACTGCAGGGCTCTGGGGAAGGAGCTCCTGGCCTGGGGACCTCAGGGAGGCTTGGAGCTGGTGGCTCATAGTCACCAGGCATTCAAGATGCTGGAGCAGGGCTTGTTGGGGACAGGAAGCCCTGTGGAGGTGGTGGCCATGACCAGCTGGCGCTGCTGAACAGGGGTGCCAGGACTGGCACCAGCCTGGGTTTGTGGTCCCCTGCCCTTGCCCAGGACTCTGCCGGGTCTCTGGCTCGTCCCATAGTCTCCCCCTGCCTCTAGAGGGCCTCTGCCAAGCACAGATTCCCCTTGGAGCCAGGCTGTCTTTGCCCTGGCTTTCCGGAAGGGTACTCCCTGGGGGAGGGGTCTCCTGGGCCACATCCGGTCTCTTGTCCTCCCGCTGGTAGCATCTCATCTCCACTTTCTTGTTGAAGGAGACCCTCTTGCGAACCTTCCCCAGCAAGGGGCTGAACTCTGCTGTGTCAGGAAGCCCTGCCTTGGGGAACAGCACGGCCAGCAGCAGGCTTGAGTGAGTGGTCTCCAGGCCTGGGGAAAGGGGAGGGGAGAAACCAAAGGCTGGTAGGAAAGAATGCAGAGCCCTGCAGAGCTGCATTCTGGCTGTGGCAGGAGGTCTGGGACCCCAAGAAGAGCTTTCTGGCAGTGACATGGGGCCCATGAGATGCTGGGAAAAGTAAGTGGAAGGGTGAACCTGTCTCGGAAGATTTGCCCTGTGTGGGAAGGGTGCATCTGGCTGAAGGTAGGCATGGATGGTTTGACCCTACCTCAGTTTCTTCATCTGCGAAATGAAGAAACTAATAGTACCATTCGGCTAGGGTTATTCTGAGGACTGAATGAATTACTGTAAGCTTTCAGAATACTGTATGCCATGTAGTAAGCAATATACAGCTATGAGCTACTGTTGTTATTGTTATCACATTTTCCTATCTCAGGAGTTCTGAGACATGCCTGCGTTAGAGAGACATGGGTGACTGTGTCAACAATGCCACATCTGGTCACGAAGTGAGGGAAGGCAGAATGTGGTATGGGCATCGGGATACTCACCTGGGCCTCCAAGAGAGCGCAGGCTGGAGGGCAGGGGCTGGAAGGCGGGCAGGGGCATCAGGATTGCCGTCACGTGTTCCACAGCGGCCAGGCCGTGGCACTGCTTATTGTTGAGGTAGGAGTAGAGCACGCGGCAGTTCTGGGTGTCCCGAGCCCCCTGTGGGCACAGTCTGACCACACAGACGTCCTGCAGTTGCAGGAAAGAGAGCAGCTTTGGGAGTAGTCATTCTTCACCCTTGCAACACCCCTGCTCTTATCGAAGCCCCTGTGAGGAAGTAGGTCCCCATTTTCCAGAGAAGGAAACAAACGGACTTGCGCAAGGTCACACAAGGAGCCTGCAGTCACGGTGGGAACTCAACCCGAATATCCTACATCAGGCTCTGCTCCAGAGGGAGAGGGAGGGAGCATGCACAGAGCTGGGGGTATGGTGCTAGCAGAAGAGGGGGTGCCCCAGGGTGGGCAGTTACCTTGGCCTTGGCTGGGCAGATGCTGGCCAGAAGGTCCCAGATGGTGCTGGGAGGGATGCAGCCTGCTGAGCGGATCACCTCGGGCAGGGCCTGAGGGCAGGCAGCATGCCCAGTCAGCACCCCCGATTCACATCCACTTCCAGCAGACTAAACACCAGCTACTCGAAGGCCACAGTTTGTGGCAAAGAGGATGGGCAGGCGATCTATCAGGACCTCCAGTGCGCAGGAAGCCCTAATTGCCCCTGGAGTCCTACAGCTTGTCATAGCCAATCTCCTACAACTTCTCAGAAGCCCCTTACTCCCTCCGCTAACCTCCTGCTGTCGTCCCGCACTTTAGCTGATCATTAGTCACTGAACAATCTCTCCTAAAATCTCCTCTGGGCCAGGGAGCCATAGGCTCCTCTCCTGGGTCCTTCTTGCTTTATGCCTTGGGTCCTTTGCTCATCTATGTCTCTGCAGGAGTGGGGCTAGCATCTCATTTGTCCCCATGTGTAGTACAGAGCCAGACACAGAGAGAATCTTAGAGTGAGTGAGTGAGTGAGTGAGTGATGGTGTGAGGAGCTGACTGGGCTGGTCAGTGTGTGACTCCCTGAAGGACAGGGCAGTAGTACCGTGATAAGGTGAGAGCTGACTCCTGAGACCAGCTGGGCCTTGACCCGGAACTGCTTGATGGAGAACATGTGCAGAGCCCCCTCCCAGGGTGGCGGGTTGGACAGGGCCTTTGTAGGCCCAGCAGGCATCTGGAGCCTACAGAGGGTGACAGAGAGACAGGACCAGGCAGAGCAGGACATCAGGGCTTCCCCCAGCACCTCCTTTCAAAGAAGATCCCGTGTCCTCACTGGGTCCAAGCATGGCCTTATGCCGGGGGAAACCAACGGGCCCGAATGATTAGATCCACTGCACAAATGGGGAAACTGATACCCACAGAAGAGGTAAGATTTGTCCAAAGCCCCACAGAAGAAAAGCCCAGGCTATGTCTCTCGCCCCAGGGGATGGCTTCCTCCACCTCCCTCCCCGCAGCTCTGCACCTGTCCTGGGGCTCCGTGGAAGGTTTCTCCCCGGGCTGGGGCATCTCTGGAGAGGACACAGAGGCTGGGCTTGGGGCTCTCTGGAAGACATTGTCCTCCACCCTTCGGCTGGCCTTGGGGAAGCCTGGTAGCTCACATGAGGACTTCCAGTCTGGAAACAGTGGAGGCAGGAACTGAAACAGGGGCAGGCACCCAGGCTGAAGCCAGCCCAGGGCTTTCCCCGCCCTGCCACCTTCTTCCCAGGTCACGCATCCGCATTACTGCAAACCCCACACTCGCTCCAGCCTGCCCGCCCTGCCCCCCATGCTGGACCCTTCCTGTGTCTCCTACAGCCCTTGCAGATGTGGCAGCTGAGGTCTAAGAAGTGGTGCTCATGCCGCTCCACGGGGTCCTTCTGCTGCTCCGCAGGGTCCTTTGACGTGGCAGGCAGGGCCGGGGGGCTGCAGTCGATGGACACCATGGGTTCCTGGGAGGCACAGGAGGAGAGGGCGTGGACTGGAGCAGAAAGCCCCAGGGATGAGGTTTTATTTTTCCAAATGCTATGTGCTTTCATTACAAAAGTACTGTGAACTTGTTGAAGAAAATTTGGAAAACACAGAAAATTCAAAAATGAAAAAGAAAAAAAAAACACCCCTTGTCCTCAGAGACAACTGTTGATATTCTGGGTATTCCTTTATAAGCTTTTCAATACACAGGTTTTAGGATCCTTTTACTGAAATAGCTAGGATCAAATATTCAACCGTACAGGTGTACCTCAGAGATGTTGGGGGTTCGGTTCCAGACAACAACAATAAAGGGAAAATTGCAATACAGTGAGTCAGATGAACTTTTTGGTTTCCCAGTGCATATAAAAGTTATGTTTATAATATTCTGTAGTCTATTAGGTGTTCAACAGCCTTATGTATTTTTAAAAAATGTACATACCTTAATTAAAAATACTTTATTGTGGTGAACACAATATACAGGTGATGTATTCTAGAATTGTACACCTGAAACCTATATAATTTTATTAACCAATGTCACCCCAATAAATTGAATACATTTTTTTAAAAAATAGAGCAAAAAGTATGAAATATAGAAAGACAATATTCCTATTGTATGAAATATGGGAAGGGTATCTTAGTGTTCCCAAAATAAATTTTAGGTTCCCCCAAATAAAACAAAAAAAAATACTTTATTGTTAAAAATCCTGGCCATCATCTGAGCCCACTGGAAAAATTGTGCCAATAGACTCACTCGGCACAGGGTGGCCACAAACCTTCAATCTGAAATAAACAAACAAACAAACAAACAAACAAATGCAGTATTTGTGAAGCACAACAAAACAGGGTACACCTGTATTCCTATTTAGCCCATGGATTCCCGCAGAGGCGTTGGCCACGTCACACAGTCCCTGTAGATGTTACGCAGATGTGGTGGGTGGCCGTGTGCGTGCATCACCTTGGTTGCTAGATGATGGGCTCATTCTCAGGTTTTCACTATTACAAATGGTGCTGAGGATGTCCTGGTGCAGAAAGTATTTTCCTAAACTTTCAATTATTTCCTTAGGACAAGTTCTCAGAAGCAGATGACAGAATCAGGGAGAACGGATATTTTTAAGAATGCCCATTGCCAAATCACCTTTCTTCCTCATGAGAGAAACAGCTTTAAATACAAAACAAGCATTGCTTTAGGAGCATTCAAGAAGATCTTTAAAACCCTACTCTTGCCCTTATAAGCTACCTCCAGAGTAGAGCCCAGGCTCAGGCTCTGGAGTCAGACAGCCCGGCTTCAAATCTCAGCTGCCCCTTGCCAAGTTGTTGACCTCGGGCAAATGGCTTCAGGTTCCTCACCCAGGAAACTGGCATCAGCTACCTCATAGGTCATTGCAAGATTTGAGTGAGGCATTGTTTGTAAACGGCACACATAGCGGGTGCTTCAATAAGGAGTAAAGACTGTTGTATGTCATTTTCCCTCTCCTACTCCGCCACCCCCTTGCTCTTCCTCGCTCTCCACTCTTCAGGCCTCCCGTGCTCCTCCCCCTCCTCTTACACTCATCTATTCAGGGAACACAGATTGGTGGGGAGTGGCCACCCCCTCGAGGGCTCCTCCCTGCACAGGCAGCAGGTCTGGTTGTTGGCCTGGACACGGTTTGGAAGGAGAAGGGGTTTTGTCTGTTGTGTGCACTGCCATTTCCGCAGTGAACATGGCTCAAGGGGCCCTCCCTGCACTCACTGTCCTAGGCGCACAGCTGAGACTGGTGTGAATATCTGACTCACAAAACATCCAACAAAAGCCAGAGCTGCCTTCTGAGAGCAACTGAAGGGAGCCACAGAGGAGTTCTGATAGCGGTAGGGCGGAAGCTGATGGATTTAGTGACTGGAGGGCTGCTGAGCCACCTTGTCAGGCCATGTGCAAGAGGGAGGGGCCAATGAGGAGGAAGGAGCAGGATGGACATGAGGACAGGGCAGATCCCCAGCGATACAAGGATACTCTGCACCAGGTGCCCTGCGATCTGGTGGTTCCCGGCCTGGAGTATACCTAAGTCCTTCTGCTGAATAGAGCGGGTCTCTGTTTCTTACATGCACAAAGACACTACCTCAAACAATATGGCCCTCCTGCTTCCCTGCTGGGTATCTGATCAGAAGGTCTGCGATTTCGGGGTAACTGCGGTTCAAGGACCACTTACATGGGGTCCCTTGGGGTTAGGCGAGAAGGAGGGGAACGAGCACTGAGATGGAGCTGCCAGGCCCTGGGCCGGCAGCCATCTTGCCCCATGCTCATCTGGACCGCGTGTGTTAGGTCATTACCCGGTTTTACAACAAAGACTGCGGGCCTCAGAGTAGTCAGGTGATTTTCCCAAGACAACACTGCTGGTGAAATAAGGAGTGGGATCCCTGGGCACGGGCCCTGCCCAGCTCCAGGTCAGGCCCCCGCTTACCACCAGACCCTCCAGGGTTAGCATTTGGTCCGTATCCCTCAGGATCTCGACTTCACCCTTGTGGGTCAGTTTGGAGGTCGGCAGGCTGCAGGACTCCTTCTGCTGCTGCTCAATGATCTCCAGGCCCTGGATGGGTGGCACAGCCCGAGTTCAGCTGCTCTCAGGGGTCTCTGGCCAGCAGGAACCCAAGTGCCCATTGTCCTCCGTTGAGGCCGCTCTCCTGTGGTCCTCTTCCATGACAGACCTTTCCCTCCTCCACTCTTGCTTCTGCCATTCCCTTCACCCGGAAAGCCCTCTACCCTCGGCCCTACCTCTCCATATTCCACTCATTCACCCTCCAATACAAGCTTTGCCTCCTCCAGGAAGCCTTCTTGAACTTTGCCTTTACCCACAAGTCAATTCTGCTTCCGACTGCACCCCCTGCCTCCATCCTGGGGTAAGTGCCAGCTCTGGAGTGCCAGCTGGGCCATTAATAAGCCCCACATGATAGTGTGGCCTTGGGGAGGTGCTTTACTGCTCTAAGCCTCAGTTTCTCTGTTTGCTAGGAATTAAATTAAGGGAATTATGTTAAACAGCATATGTAGAGTGCTTAGCCTGGAACCTGGCTCATAGTAAAGGCTACTTGTGATTATTACTGATAATGCCATCCCATATGAAATGTTTCCCAAAGCCTGTCTCTCCCTTTGCAACCACGCCCTGGACAGAGGCCCTGTCCTCCCGGGCAGTGCTGGTTCACAGGCACGGGCTCTGGTGCAGCTGCACAGGGCTCTGTTTAGAAGGGCCCCATGCTTAATGCTGCCGCCACCTTGAAATTCTTAACAGTTGTTGGAAAAAATGCCCTGCATTTTCATTCAGCACCAACTCCACAAATTATGCAGCTGCTCCTGCTCGCTGGCCCCCCACAGCGCCTGGATAAAAGTTCAGCCTTTAGAGGACACGTTCCCCTAATGGATTCTAGTAATTAATTCTAATCAGTGTTTACCAGCATCTACCAGAGCAGGAGCCTTAGCACCCACGCCATCCCACTGGCCCTGCTCCCTAGATCAGTCCTTCCCTCTCTCACTGAGCCACGAAAACCACGATGCAAATGCCCCGAAAGCCGACTCAGTGCCCACGCCGACCCTGCCCCTGATCAGTCTCCAGGAGGGGGAGACCCATGGACGTGGGGTATATGGGGCTGTAACTGTGAAGTGTGGGCATGGCGGGGTCCCTCACCCAGCCTGGGGCACCAGGAAGACTCAGCCTTTTCTGGAGCTTCTAAGGCTGGAATGGGAACAGAGGCTCCCCAGGGGGCCTACTCCCCATGGACGGCGGATGTCAGTCATGGACTTCAGAGTGTGCACCATCACTCCCAGTCCCGCCCCCCCGCCCCCCTCCATAGACAAGCAAAGGGAAGACAAAACCTCTTGGGAGCACCACTTCTCTACCAACAAAGCCCTCCATCCCTGTTCCATTTCATTTCTGCCTCTTTCCCTCATTTTTTCTGTGGAGTCTCTCCGGCTCGCTCCTTCTCTGCCTGCTCTCTGTCTCCTCGTTTCTACATTTCTCTCTGTGCTCCCCATGCGTCCCACCTTCCTCCTCACATCTGCCTCCCTTCCTGCTCCACACTAGGGTCGCCTCTCTGCTCCCCCCACGTCCTGTCACCTACCCTGACCTGACCCAACAGCTCACCCTTTTCTCCTCCTGGTCCCGCCAGCGGGCCAGCTCTTGGGGGGCCAGCTGAAATGAGTTCATCCGCACCAGGCCGTGGGGGGTGACCTCTCCATGAACCACTTTGAGAAGCAGGTCCTGCAGGGGCAAGGGGCAGGGGGCAGGGGCTGCACCACGCCGCTCTGAGGCCCCCACCCCAACATCCTGCCAGGGTTTGGTGCCTCTGAGAGGGGCCTGGCCCAGCCCAAAGTCCCGCTCACGTGGTTCCTGGGGTCACGTAGGTTGAACAGCAGGCTGCGGTACTTGTTCTTGTAGTGGCAGTTGGTGGCTTGTGTCAGGTCGAAGAGGGCTGCCTCAATGCCAGCAGCGATGCCCTTCACCACCCCCTCACTCAGCACCGGGTCTGGGAGCTTCCGAAGGCTGTGGGGGACAAGGGCAGGGCCGCGGCAGGGCACCGCGAGGCTATCCAGGGGCTCAGCTCAGGAGCGAGAGATGGGTATGAAGCAAGATCCTGGCATGTTCTTACATGAGCCCATTTATTCTCAGCCCAGCTCTGTGAGGAGTAAATATTATCATTCTCCATTTACAGAAGGGGTGACTGAGACTCAGAGAATATTACTGGTTTGCACAGGCCACGTGATTCGTGGCAAAGCAAGATCTGACTGCTCAGTTCACGCTCCATCCCCGGCCAGTGGAACTGAGGCATGCGCAAAGGGGAGGAAGCCTGGGGCAGGGTAAGGCATTAGCCACCGCAGAGGTCGGGGCCTTGGCCCTGGTTGTAGCCTTGAATCTGCCACTGACTTGCTGGGTGGCTTTTGCAAAGCCCTGCCCTCTCTGGACCTTGGTCTCGCCTTTGGTAAATGACAGCTCTGTGCTCAGATCCCTGACATGCTCCCACCACAGAGACTCACTGTGTCTGAACAATTTGCTGTGGGTGACATCCGAGAGGACCTGAGCAGATGCTGAGAGCTGCAGTGGCTTAACGGGAAAGCATGACCCTGAGGCCAGAGAGACCCAGGATCGAATTTCAGCTCCCTTCCCACCCTTTGTGTGGGCAAGTGACCTCATGGCTCCAAAATGGATAAATCACACACAGAGAAGCCCTTGGAACATGGCACGGCCCAGGGAGGTGACAGTAGCCCTTCAGAATGCCAGGGGTGTCAGGGAAGGGGGGACAAGGCCTTACCGACTCCACAGCACGTTCTGCATGACACGGATCGCAGTGTCCCGTATCCCGGTATCCAGGGGTAGCTTCTCTTTTGGGCGTGGAAGCTGAACTGTGGGAAAAAGGGTCACAGGTCCAGGGGACGCGCAGGGGCCAGGGAAGGGAGTGACTCCATGCTGAGGGGCTTAGGCAGGCAAAGAAGGGGCCCCACTCCCAGAGACCTGGCCCCCATATCTGTCTGAGAGCTGAACCCAGAGAGCCACCAGCCCCTACCTCTTTGGGGAAGGACTACAAGCTGATTGGAGGAGGGCAGGAAGGAGAGAAGATATAGCCTGTCTTCTACGGCCCACTGCGCATGAGCCCCCCTCAGTCCCCACTAGTTCCCACAAGACAGGTGAATGCTGAGGGCACCTTCCACACCCCTCACCTGAGTGTTCTCCCCAGTCCTGCTCACCAGGCCCCTCCTCTTCAGCCTCCACTGGGCCGCACTGCGAGGGAGGCGCAAGGATCTGAGGCCTTGTCTCTGAGTCCAGCCTCCAGGCCCCACAGGGACACTGCTTCCCCCAGCCACACCCCAATTCCCACATTCTCCCTGACCCATGTTCCAGAGATGGAGGTCACGTGAAAGGGACAGACGCACTCACCCCTGGGTACTCAGCACGGGCCTCCTGAAGAGGAAACCCCTCCTGCAAGAGGAAGAGTATGGGAAGGAGAAGGAAGGTCCCAGAGGGTCAGGGAGCCACTCCCAGATGGTGGAAGGGTCAGCAAGGCCGCCACAGCCCCCTACTGTCCCTCTGGAGGGAGGCCGCTAGAGGAACTTGGGATCTCCAGGAACAAGGGTGGGTGACTGCTCCCTCTCCAGATGCACTAGGGGCCCAGCCCTCCCTCACAGGAGCAGGAGCATGCAGACCCCCAGGCTGGCCAGCCAGGTGGCGGTCTAACCCGCTGGCTGCTGCATTCTGTGTGACCACAGGCAAGTCACAGCATCTCTCTGGGCTGCAATGGCACCTCTGTGAGCCGGGTATGAAGGTCTCTCTCAATAGCATTGAGTGACATCGCCTGTGTAAAGAACCTGCTGTGTACCTGGCACCCAGTGGGGCCCCGGGCCCTGGGCCTTTCCTTCCTTCTGGGCCTTTGGGCGGGTGAGGCTGAGCTGACCTCCATCATGTTGTCCAGGGGCTCCAGCTTTGGAGGCTGCAGCCGCGCTGCCTGGCCAAGGCTGATGGCCCCCAGGAGGTGGATCGCTGTCCCGGAATCAAACTGCAGGGGAAACAGTGTTTCAAAACCGAGCAGCGTGAGCAGCGGCTCTTCCCTCCCAGTGCTCACCTCACCTGTGATTGCTTATGTCACCCTGCCCCCGGGACTGTAAACTCCATGAGGACAGGCAACATCCTCGTGCCTACAAATGCCTGGCACACAGTAGGGTTCACTAAATGCTTGCTGGCTCTCTGGCTGGTGTTCCGAAAAAGGAGCCTGTCTTCATTCCAGCCTCTCATTTTCCCCACTCGCTCTCAGGTACGTTCAGAGTTAACTGGACCCTTTTCACCCTCTTGGCCAGAGATGCATCTCATCAGGTGCGGAGTGGGCTTTTGGTCTTCATTTTTTAAATAATTTTTTATCGATTTTTAGAGAGAGAGGGGACGGGGGAAAGAGAGGCACATTGATCTGTTGCTCCACTGATCTATACATTCATTGGTTGATTCTTGTACGTGCCCTGACCAGGGATCAAATCGATTACCTCGGCATATCGGTACAATGCTCTAACCAACCGAGCTATTCGGTCGGGGTGGTTTTGGTTTCTAATGAGCTACAGAATCTATCCCGCTCTCCTTTTTGCTATGGTTGCCAGGAAGCTCAGTGTAAACTTCGAGCCTTGCAGTTGTACCTTTCCCAGGCTGGTAGAGGGGGAGGGGTTGTTGTAACAAGATTTCCCTTTCTCCTTCCCTTTTTCTTGCTTTCATTAGGGTTTTATCCCATTTTAAGTATGTTTTGATTCATTTAATTTATTGCAAACTATGGGGAATTGTTTTGAAAGCAAACAGGGTTGAAGAGTAACGGCCAGGTTCCAAGGTCTGGGAGAGATGGGAAGTCTGAGATTCAGCGTCAGAGGGAGCAGGGAGCACTAGGGTGCTCCGGAGGGGAGACAGGCAGGGGGCCTGGGACTGCCTCTGTTGTGAAGGACCCCCCACCCCACCAGACTTGGGGAGAGGGAGGGAAAAGGGCAATAATAAAAAGTAAAAAACCTACGTAACACACATGCTTCACCCCGTGGGGCATTCTCATTTCCTCCTTGGAGAGAAAGAGGATGCAGAGATTAGAATGCAGAGGACCCAGTGACCCACTGCAGGGAATTAATAAGAAGACACTCACACAGAGGTGGAAGATATATGTTCCGTGTTCACTCGGTTGGCATTTATAATCAAAATAAAATAAGTGCAATCTAATGTCAATCAAAGGGGGACGGTTAATAAATACTGGCACATCATACTATGGATCCTGTGTGGCCATTATAAAGGATGAGTCATAAAAGCTACCATTCATCAGGGGCTGAGAAGGTAACTGGCCCTGGAGGAAGCACATCACATGTGATTTTATGAAGGCCTCAGAACAACACTATGAGGTATGTGCTATTTCTAACCCCATTTTACAGATGAGGAAACTGAGGCTGGTAGAGGATCCGAAAAGTCCCATAGCTACTAAGCAGCAGGGCTAGGATTAGAACCTCGTTCTGTCTGACTCCAAAGCGCAGACACTTAACTGCTGAGCTCTGCAGAAGCACTGGCTGATGTGCAAAGATGTCATGGTGTACTGGTAGGACAAAGAGAGAAAGAATAGCTGACAGAATCTGTTACATAAGCCCATTTATGTAAATATATATTTATAGCTGCATAATAGAGGTTATCTCTGGGGAATGAAATTCCAGGGGGGACTTTTGCTTTCTACTTGTAGACACTTGGGTATTCATGCTATTCAAAATGAGCACGTATTTCTTTTATAATGGGAAACATATTTTTTAACTAAAAAACAAGTTCAGAACAATGTGTGTCGTGTGCTTACCACTTGCATTAAAAAGAGAGAAAAATAATTTTTAAATTTTTATTTGCTTGAATCTGCATAAAGTATCTCTGGAAGTATCCACCAGAACCTAATAACCGAGGCTGCCAATATTAGAGGGGCTGGGAGCTGGGAAGAAGGCTTTTCACTTTAAAAAATAAAATAACCATGGGAATGAATCGGCCTTTCAAAAAAAAAAATAAATTGAGAAAGAGGGGGGAAGAAAGAAAACAGACATCTGGAAAGGAAAGCAGGAACGGTATTAAGAATAGCCCTTCACAATTTAAAACCTTTTGGCTGGCCTCTGTCCCAGGGATCTGTATAGCAGCATGATGAGGCTAGACAACAGGCAGCAATCAGGCCGGCAAAGACTTTAGATACTGGGTTTCTCAGACCAGAATACAAAATATACACGTATAACATGCTTAACAAAATAAAAGGAGTCAAACGTCTGAGCAAAAGACAAAAATAAAAAAAAATGTATTTTTAAAATGATCAAGCAGATTTGGTTGAGAACCAAACACAACGTCTGGGAATAAAAAATATGATAACAATAACTAACATTAAAAACTCACTGTATAGGCTTGATAGCATATTAGACACAGCTGAAATAAGTTAGTGAACTACAGTAAAAAGGACTAATTAATCTAAAGTTCCAGGAGAGGGGAGAGAGAATGGGACATAGGTAATATTTAAAGATATATGGCTAAGAATTTTTCTGAATTGATAAAAGACAACAATTCACAGATTCAAAAAGCTCAGTGAATTTCAAACAGGATAAGTAAAAGTAAATCCACATTTAGACAAATCATGGTAAAAATGCTCAACACCAGTGATGAGGAAATCCCAAAAGCATCAAGAGAAA